TTCGCCCGCTCTACCCTTCCAACTTTCTCTCCTGGAGTAAAAAGCTGCTTCAGATTTCACGTACGATTTCTTTTTCAAGTCTTTTTTTCACTATTCTTTGGAATGTCCGAAGTGAAAATCCTCTGACTGTGCCAAATGTCTTATGAATTGAGTTGGATCTTTTCTAATTGATCTCTTTAGCTCTAAGTTGAAATGATGATCCCTCTTCCTGTTGTGAACTACTGATTCAGTTTTCCTCTCTAATGTTCCCCCACTTTTTTTAACTTATTCACCGTTTGATGGTACTTGAGAAGGATCTTGAAGAGGAAAGCGAGAGTATGAATGTTGGTACCATTACTGAAGGTCTCAATAATTTTTTCCTCTCACCATTGCTCAGTTGCGAAGACAGTGTTTCTGGTACAAAACGATTTTAAAATGTTCTCTTTCTAGTTGAATAAACCAAATGTTTTTTTCAGTGATTCTTACGACAAATGGTATCTACATGCCTAACCGTCTTATCTGAAAACCCAGAAAAAAGAAACTCAGTTTGGTGGCTTCTTTTTTTTTTTTTTTTTACATATTAAACATTTTGTGTGGTGGGAAATTATGCTGTTAAACGATTTCGATAATCTCGCTATATATAAGTGAACATTGAAGTCAACATTCAGAGGCAACAGGCTGTTTCATGAACATTCGCGGCCTGACGATGCTTGGACAAACAAAAAGAGGAAGTTGTGGATGGCTATCATCGTATACGTTCTGAACGGTCACATCTCATAGGGCAGTAAGCATCCCTTTCCTGCCCGCTTTCAGTTGATCCGTATTCTGTGGCTGATTTTGGGTCTAAGAATAAAATAACGTCAACGACTCAAAATAATTCCGTGTATCAGATTTCATCATAGAATGTAATAGAACGATAAAGAAGAGGAATCATTTTAGTTAGAGAGTTGCTAAATGAGGCTGTTGCATAAGCGTAAGGATATAGTAGCAGATCTAACACTTGTAATGGTGGAGTATAATGAGATATAGTTATAGAACTCTTCTCGTCTTCGATGAAATTCTTTAAATCTTTTAGTGTCTCAGGTTTGTTCTTGTAACCCTACCTCGGACAAGGAGTGTTTGTTTGCCCGTGCACAATTTTCCGTTCATATTGTTCATTTACTGGTTGATTTGAAACCTCAGATATGACATTAAAATAAAAGTGAATTGTCGATAAAAAATTAACCTCTGACAGGAATCGAACCTGCACCACTTTTTAAAACTTAATTGTGAATATAGTTAACTAGCAGTAGAGCCCGGAGATGTAACAGTAAGAGATAGATCAAGTTTCTTCGACCATCATAAAGACTGAAAAATAAAATTGACAAAAATTATTGTTTAAGGTTGACAGACACGCATGTCTTAATTCTTTTTTCTTTTTTTTTTTACGAATTGGTCAAACCGAAACTCAAACAAAAACATTGTTTTCAATCGTTATGAGTCTACCGATTGAATAGAATTTTTCATTTTTATTATAAACAATTGTCTTGTAAATGGAATTTTTAAAGCATTCTGAATGTAAACATAAAGAAAAAAGTGTGCAAGACAATAAGAAACAATACCTGCCAAAAAAAAAGTGAGGTTTTGTTGAAATCGGTTGAAAAATGTAGGAAATCCGATCCCATATATAAACGAACACACACACACACACACACACACACACACACACACACACACACAACCAACCTGGGTTTTATAATAAGTATAACTCGATATTAATAAGTATAACTCGATATGAGTTGTCCCCCTTTCATTAATGCCTCTTAATTGTGTTTTCAAATTGATTTCATGCGAAAACAATTGTGTTTTTCCAATTTTTGGCGCCGTCAGAACAACCGCAAGGTAGTTTTACGTAGTCCTGTGAAGTTTTGTTGAAATCGCTTGAAAAATGTAGGAAATCCAATCTAATATATAAACGAACAGACACACAACCTGGATTTTATGTTAAGTATGATACTGGTTTTGTTTTACAACCGATAACGAAAGCGCATTTTTGCTGATGTGAGAAGTTTTCAAAATTATCTATATTCTTAATTTAACCTAATATTTCTAAGTATTAGAACAAGTTCGTGTCTTAGAAAATTAAAAAAAAATAAAATTTTGCATACTAAAAAAAAAAAAACATTTATTAGCCAAGTACATAGTGTTCAATGTCGTTAACAATCATCTCACGTCGTTTTACAAGCTTGTTGATACTATTTTCGGAGAAACTTCGTACTTTTTGGTTGCAAGAAAGTTTTCATGTAGTTTTCGACTGACTGTACAGAGTTTATTTTTGGACATTGAAATTGTTCTGTAGAGATCGGATCAAATGAAAATCCGAAGGAGCAAATTCAGGAGTATACGGTGTATGGTGGGGAGTTTCCCATTTCAAGTCTTTAAGCTTCTGTTTTGTAATGCGCGGGCTTATATTGTCATGGTGGAAAAGGACACCTTTTCGACTTGCCAAAATCGTCCGTTTTTCTTGAACACAAGTCTCTTCAAATGGCGAAATGCTGCTGAGATATCGGTCTTCAAATTCTTTAAACAACTCTTCTTCGCTTTATGTCCCACGGTGCCAAGCAGAGCGTCTTCATCGACGTTGGAAGGTCGCCCGGAGCCTATTTCGATCGTTTATGCTAAAATAACCCTGAGGTATATTTCCAAAAGTTTTTTTGACCGTCCGAAGAGCTGGAGAACAATCCAAATAAACCCGAATGTTTTTTTTTTTTTTTTTTTCTAAGTTCCTATGACGCTTACTCCTTTCTGAAACTTCTAGAGCAAAATATGGCGGAAGTGCAACTTTTCATCCTCCATTTGTGGACAAACATTCAGCAAACCCGACTCGCACCTGAACGATTCCAGTTTTCAATATGAGACACACCAGAAATTGCATCAAAACGAAACCTGTTGCGGTTATATTATATCAATAAAAATTAGGAACGGATTTTTGCAATGATCTGATCATTCAGCGCGGATTCTTTGAATTGTAAATAAGGCTATTGATATAAATCCGGTGAAAGCAAACATATGTGTCGCCCCCCCCCCCTGAGCTACTCCGCTATGAAATGTGTTGCTCGAACCTTGCATTCAAGCAGCTGCTGGATAGCTTTGAATAAATCATATATTACAAGCTTAAAGATTCGTCTGTTTTCTTTGCAATAACAGACCCATATTTTTGAAGACGAAATCCAATAAAAAATTATAATAAAAGATAAAAGGTAAAATAATATTCCTACAAAGTTCCACACAATTTAAACCATTATTCGAAGCTCCATGGCAGTTTACATTTGGTGGGCAAACAACCTTCAACATATCTCAACTCTGAAATAATCTGCCTGGGATAGGATTAATAATGTTCCCGGCTTAAAAAAAAAAAACACCAAAAAAAACAAAAAAACAAAACAAAACAAAAAAAAAAACATTCTAGAGGTGCAATATCAGGTGACCTTGCTACCTAAATGCTATTGATTTAGTAATTTTTAACCAATATTCGTTTACAGACACATAACAGGCAAATGTATCGTCCCGGTGATAGATTATTGATTGAAAACCTCTCTGGAGAGATTGTGGATTGATTGAGTTGTTTTTGACGGCTTATCAACCTGTTGTAGGTTATTTAAAGTAGGCAGATATTTTTGTATTGTAATAAGATATTTTTGAGATACCAGTGATTTCTCGTTACAAGTCGTACTATTTAACCCATAGCTGAAGGAGAAGAGGCACCTTCGCCAAGAGCCTTTGCGTGTAATTGAATATAAGGAGCGCGGACAGGTATTGGAACACGGCTCTGCGATTTCTTTTTCTTACATCACCTGTTACTCCCAATAAGTCACCCATATAGTTACTGACCATGCTCGACATCGCTTAACTTTGCACTTCGCACTAATGCCTTTGGAAAAGGTATGTATATACTTATTCTCCCTGCAGCTATGGGTTAAATAGCAGGGCTGACTCTAAATCCTCTAGCCTCGCGTGGCAGCCATTATGGAAGAAGGTCTACTCTGAATGTGAAACTGTAGTTCCAACCTCAGGCCATCCGTCTGATCTTTTTAACTATAGACGTGATGGGTATGACTATAAACAACATCAACTAGTAAGGCCTCTGTAGACTGGAGGTTAAGAGAAGTTTGGAAGCACTTCATATTTGCTGTTGTTCCCAGTCCATCCTGATCCAGGCTGGTAGCACCTGTTAGGGAACCAGCTAATGACAAATAGTGAAACAAAGACTATGGAAGTATAATAACACATTTTTATAGTATTTGGTTGGTGCATAATTATCAGGCGTTTTGTAGTTATTTGTTAATAAAAATTGCAGTTTTGTTTACGTTTTTTAATTAAAAAAATATTATTCTATTTTCAGGTTATAAAAATGCGTGTCGATAATAATTCTCATTTAAAAAAATCTTATTGTTGAATTATTATGTTTCTTTTTTCATAATATTGTTTAAAAACGCCTGATAATTATGCACCAACCCAATAAAATACCAACAATACAATTTTATAAAAAAAATGACTAACAATACGGTTTATAGTAAAATGACCAACAGTACATTCTATCTGTAGTTGTAGACATACAATTGCGTTCAAAATATATTTAGTTGAAGCCATAAAATTATGTTCGAAATATGTAGATGTAGGCATTCAATAAGACATCGAGGTTGATATGTCTCTAAACAAAACCAGTCAACCAACTAATATTTATTACGGTACGTGGGAGTTAAATTACCTATAGAATACTCTGACATATCAGTGACATGACATTTTATATACCTATGGAACAGAATCGAGGGAGATACGAATTCATGCCTTTTTCAAGAGTCCTGGTGTTAGGTGAACACAAGAAGCCTTAGATGAAATTCAAACTGAATTTACCGCTCTCTCTACTTATCTGAATGCTTTCTCTCATCTCCTGTTTTCCTCTCTCATCTTCTATCTCTGTGATCTTCCTTCTATACGAAATAATTCAATTTGAAACGAAAACTAATTCAATTACAAACACAATGTCGGTTTACGTCCAGAATTTGATCAACATCCTTCTATTTTTTTCCCCGATCTTCATTTTGTCATTACAATCACCAGCGATATCATCTCCTTCATTTTCACTCGTATTTTGTTTGATTGTTATTTTATTTTTTAAAGTTCATTTTGCATTTTCCGTTGTCTCTTCCTCTTCCGTTCCTCACTCTTCGCCATTTTTTTTTTCCGCCGGAGATCTTTTTGTGCGCACAAACGATAAACAAACGTCACCTCTGCGCATTATGCCCCACTATCTCACTTCATCCTCCTTTCCTACTCATATTCCTCTAACCCATATCCGGGCGCTGTTGCCAATGCGCCATACTGTCTTCGTACAATTTAACTGAATTGAAAACAGTCGCGTCAAATGGGCTTCGCCTTTTGGAGAGCAACAGCGGCGACGGACTGCCGGGGATTTTTATTGATGCTCTCGACGTCGGCTCGAAGAATTGTGAGAATGAGGTGTGCGTGATGGCGGTTAGTGACTGGGACGGAGACCCAGCGTCGTTCTTTTGTGCTACGTGATTGCGTTCGTAAATAAAATTCAAGGAGAATTTATGCGTTTATTCAAATAATTCTGTTTATTCATTCCCTAGTTGGTCCCTCAGCTGGGAAATGTATACGTCTGGTTTAATTAGTTTCTATAGAGGAATCGACGTATTATCAACATATATATATATATATATATATATATATATATATATATATATATATATATATATATATATATATATCAAAGTCTGCTACTTAGGCTTTCATGCATAATTATTTGATTAAAACGTACGTCTGGGGTAGCAGATACCTGCCACCCGTGGATTGTGTATGTCAGATAATAGCTGTTAGTTTCATATTTTATAAGTCTGATGATTGTTATTGCAAAACTTTCTGAGTAGCGGATTTTGATATAATTGCATTAATAATATTAAATTATACTTAAGCTTTGTCGACTTTGCCATAGAGTCCTCATTTTATATTTTAAGCGGTTTAACTTTAGCCTTTATTCTTATATTTATATATATATATATATATATATATATATATATATATATATATATATTAAATACAAACAGACTCTAATTAAATTATTTGCTCTGGATTTACATTGAGCTCTCTGGATTTTATCCTCCTTAGGTTTACCCATACGGATAACCTAGTTTTTCTTAAACTATATATATATTTATAATAAGAATTTAAAATATGTTTTTTCCGCTACACAGTTCTAACCATTACAAAATTAAATTTGGACCTTCCATTTTTGAAACATGGTTAGAACTGTGTAGCGGAAAAACCATATTTTAAATCAATTAATTTATAATATTAATGCTCTGTAAATTTACATTGTGCGATGGATTTCAGTGTGAACTGGTTTTCCGTTTTGGCCAGTTCTCACTCACTTTTCCATCTTAAGGTGTTGGAGTCTTTTTACATAAGGTCCAGGCAACCTGCTCTTTGCAAACAAAGAGATTGTTTCCTTGGACTTGCTGTTCTGCGCTTCTAGCAGCTTGGTTGGTATGAATTTTTTTTCCTTCCCTGTCCATTCATTCATGTCACCCATGACAGACTTTTTCTTTTCCTCATAATCTTAATTCCCCGTTAACAGTTCTGACGAGAGGGGACGAAACCGGTCGACTGTTGTGTGTTTTATTTTAAACTTATCATGGCCTACAATACAAAATTTCTAGTTTTAATGCCTTATATATATATATATATATATATATATATATATATATATATATATATATATATATATATATGGTGGACTCGTCCGTCGTATTCGACGTATGAGTGTCAAGCCTCAATCGACAGCCCAGACACCAGTACATATGATTTGATTATAGTGGTGAAGACTTTGTGCAACCACACTTTTGAAAAGGCCGAATACAGAGACATGTTGCATTATGTGCCACAAGGTCCCCAAACGACACTCCACAGGTTTTGAACTCATAGTTGTCCTTCTCCTAGACCAGTTACCATTCAAGGCTATAGAATCCAGTCTGTCCTGCTATATATATATAGTCGACTCTCCCGTCGAGATTCGACGTATGAGGGTCAAGCAGATCAGTTTCCAGGAGACCGACAGCCCGACACCGGCACATGAGATTTGATTATAGTGGTGAAGGTTTCGTGCAGGACCATCCACACTTTTTGAAGGGACGAATACAGAGACCTGGTGCACCGAATGCCACAAGGTTCCCAATTATTATTTTATATCTATCTATTTTAGACCCTTCATTGTTATTTTATATCTATCTATCTATCTATCTATCTATCTATCTATCTATCTATCTAATTACGTTCATTCTCTTCTTTGTTTCTTTGTTTCTTTCCTGAACCAAATGTTGCCAGCGAAACTTTTTCCATAGCTATAGGGAAATTTTGAATCCTTTTACGAGTTACCCAGCAAAATGAGTTAACGGAATAGCTTCGAAAAAAACAAAAAACAAAAAAAACGAACCTATCAAGCTGTATAATAAGCCAATGTAAAAGCTTTACAAATAACCTCTAGAAAAAAGAAAAATGAATGCACAGGAAATTGAATTGACAGGAAATTGTGCAATTGGTTTTATTTTCGCCATGGTTTATCCAAATATTTGTCAGGTTATGATCGTTTGAACTTATTCAAAACACGAGCCTATTTACTTATTTTTTCAAAATCAGTTTTTGATAGTTGCTTTTTCTACATCTTTTTGGCTAAGACATTCATTGGATTGTTGCTGAAAGGAATGGTGTAAATGAAAGGTTTTATCTCATATGGATTTGAAGGCGCTCTGTAAAACAAACTTTAGTGAAATTTACACGTTTTGATTGGATTTCTGTCTCATACCTCTTAGCTTCAAATAACGCCAACAATACCTGTGGCAATCGCCTTCTAAGTGTATGTTCCTAAAAAAAATATCTGTAAAAGTAAGACCTTTTTTTCGCGCGAAGATATTACAAAGATTTTTTTTAGGTTAAATTTGTTTATTATAGGCTTTTGACACTATATACCTGACACGACCAGTGAATTATGTGTCATACATAATACCCGCTTAGGCGATCATGTATCTTTCGATACATGACTGTCGAGGCAGATTTTTTCCGCAGTAGGTTGCCATTTCTTTCTGCGGTAGACCTGTTGCTGTTCAAGGTTATAGAACCAGGTTTGTCCTGCTGGGGGGGGGGATAAGAAGAGGATTCATACCTTTCCCAAGGGTATTAGCACGTAAGTGAATGTAATGGATTCGACTGGAATTCGAACTCGGCTCTTCGATTCCTCAATCCGAGCCGCTATCCATTACTTCAACAAATAACAGTTTTACTTAGAACTTTTCTTGTATTATTCAGGAAATCATGATCTAAACTTTTACTATTGTGCCTATTTTGGTGCTGAATTCACTTTTAGCCATGAACCCCCATTCAAACGATGTGTAATTGGGCTAATGCAACATTTAAGCTCTTTTCTGGAACTTGTAGTTTTAACTGATCTTAAAGGCCTATATTTCTATATATAGAAACGTGTAGGCTTTGATTTAAAGGACAAACATCTATAATACATTTTCATAATCGAGCTAAGACTCGTTCATCAAACTCACAAACCACAATAGCACAAGCATTAAAATGTTTGTGGTAGCAGAAAAAGTACTTTGGGACATTCAAATATTAGGTTATTATATATATATATATATATATATATATATATATATATATATATATATACTAACAGCATGGCCCGGCGTTGCCCGTGCTTGATTCAAAAATCGTACGACTCATACAGCAATCGCTATCACTTGACTTAAAATATTTTTGCCCTTCCTTGCCTTTAAAGGAGTGCCCTCTGCCGTGCTGATGTTGCTAAATGCCTTACTTCTTGCCTATCTCACACTGCGAATTTTTTCTAAGCCCTATACTAAACATTAAATCTGTTACGAAAAAAGAACTAAACAAAATGAACCCAAAACGATCAGCTTTAAAAAAAAGGACTCGTAACTGGAAAAACCGAATGAAAAAAGAATGTTAACAACAAATACTTTTTCACACCCAACCCAGTTCTGCGGAATCAGAATCAACGTTGAGATTAAGCAAGCGAATGAGCCAATTGGAATAAAGTGCCATGCAGATTTAAATTTTTCCCACTTGTGACGAATGCAGCTAGCATGCTAGTTAACATTCGTGTCAGTCAGCTGTTGGATCTCACGCTGGCCAATAGCATCTTCTTGACTATTCGTAGCAGCCAGCTATAGGCTCTCACTCTGGCCAGTAGAAAATGGCCGCAAACTACATGAAAACAGCCGTAGCAGCATGAAAAAATCGATTATTTCCACTATCGATGGGAGTTGGGAAATGCAAAGTCGGTCTTGGCCTTCCCACTAACTTGGAGCATGTGCATGTAAATTGTGGTGCAAATTCGTCGAAAATTGCGGCCGTGCATTCGTTACACACACACGCACACACACACACGCACACACACACACGCACACACACACACACACACACATCCTGCCTTTTATAGATAGAGATATATATAACCGTTTTTTCTTCTGCTAATGAACCCGAAAAATAGTCTTTCGTAGCATTTTTTGCTTCTTAGTAACTATGGTCATCTTGTAAAACTGTAATGTAACGTTATTGAAGTTTTATTTCAGATTAGACACCTCTTTGAGTTCGAATGCAAATGAGCTTGTTTGACATTGCCTTCTCTTTGCTTTTAATGAAAGACTCAAAGCTGCCAAATCTGCGCGAAACAATTGTGTTGTGTACGGTGATTGATCCATTACCGAAAAACAGCTCAAGAGGTGGTGTTCTCAATTCAAAGAGGAGACGTTCGAACTCACAGACTCTCCACGTTCTGGCCGAACTGTTCAGGTTGATGAGAACCAATTTCACGCACTGATTAAAGATGAACCGTTCCAGACCTCCATGGGATTAGCTCAGACGATGGCAAGCTCTCAGGTTACTGTCGTTCGTCATCTTCACGGAGTGGTTGAGGTCCAGACAACCCAAATGGTTAATTTCAAGCTGTATGTAGAACAAATGAAAAGGCTCTGGAGTCAATTCGACTGAAAAACCTGACCCACGACACAGTTATTTAGTATGAGATTGCTCGCCCCCACTTCGCGAACATGGACAAACATACAATTAAAAAGCTCGACTGTGAAGTTCTGACGCCACCATTATATTCTCCGGATTTAGCCCTTTCAGACTTTTTCGGTCGCATTCTAACGATTTGAGGGGTGTTTCATTCAACAATGCTGTGGAGCTTAAAACATGGCTTGATGATTTTTTCCAATCAAAGCCTAGTGATTTTTATCATCGTGGCTTTGAACAGTTATCAGATTGTTGGCAGGAGGTCGTAAACAGTGAAGAGTAATACACTATGGCATGATTCATCAACACTATTAATAAATAATAATTATTAAATTAATTGATAAAACTAACGAATTCATGCAACAGATTAATACATACATTCTGGTTAATCTAGTTCAGGTGGCAACATCTAGTCATTGAAAAACAAAGGAAAAATTATCAATTATTGGATGTAGTTGTACCAGCTGAAGAAGAGTTGAAGAAATGTATGAACTTTGACATATAAATGAAAACAATTAGAAATATTTAGTCGACATTTTTCTAAGTAGTTCGAACGTTTTCTGACATTACGGAGGAGTTGAAAAGTAATCCGAATTTTAAGAACAAATCACGCCATCTTGAAAGAACTATATACGCGTTAATGAGATCTTGAAGAAGAAAGCCTGCATCCTGGAAGGCATCAAATCACGTATCAAGTATCGCCGAGTTTCTCGTTTATTAGATTCAAAGCCAAACATAAAAGACAAGCTCAAAAAATGACACAAATATCTGAACGTTCGAGGAGATAACGAAAAGAATGATATCCCAAAAGACATCATCAAACAGATAATACCAAATAATCATCCGTCGATAGCTTATCTGCCTATGATGGGGAAAATCCTTATGGGACATCTGCCGAACAAATAAATTCTTTGCCAAATAATAAAAAATAAAACAAAACAAAAAACACAACAAACGTGTAAAGTGAAGAAGAAAAAGCCTATTGAAAAAAGTATCCGTGGTAAAGAGGGAACACAAAATTCATAGTTAATTATAAATCTAGAATACCTATGGAATTTGAAGGTGACAAATATACTATCAATCTTAAAGATGGTTCTGGACAGATCCGTATAAGTATTTGAGGAATTGAAAATATTCTGAATAGAAAAGCGGAACTAGAACAATCCTCCCCAGTTGACAAAATAAAGGGTTTGGCTCAAAATTCTTACGTATATAAACGGAAGAAAGTGTGAGCGTACGAATTTCTTTCATCGCCATCTTTGTCTGTCTGCCTGTCTGTTTTCTCTCTTTTACCCCTCTCCCTCTTTCTTTCTCCCTCCCCTCTCTTTCTTCTTCCATCTCTCTCTCTAAATATATATATATCTTTATATATATATATATATATATATATATATATATATATATATATATATATATATATATATATATATATATATATATATGTATTTATATTTATAAATATAAAAGTGAACATTGAAGTCAGCACTTAGAGGCGACAGACTGTTTCATGCTAGACACACGCTATATCTCTGATACTGAGCACTTTATCCCATAAATATAGCACACCTTATGAGTATATTACTTTATATATATATATATATATATATATATATATATATATATATATATATATATATGAGCAAATATGTGGATATACATCCGACAGTATGAAGAAAATATGGAAAAACAAAAATCCGAATATGCAAGTATGCTGTTTTAATGTTGTTTCAATGTCGCTAAAAATTAAATCTACAATATTACCTACTAGAACTATCCGCAGTTTATTAAATAACACCAGCAACCAACATATTACATCTGATGCTTGCATCTACCAAATCTTATGCAACAACTGTCACTTAAAATATGTGGGTGAAACATGTAGGTCCGTAAAATCTCGTGTTTTCGAACATAAACGAGATATTCGCCTCGGAAATTTAAACAATGCTTTAGTTGTACACATAACTAAATCTGATCATAATTTCGATTTTGATACTGTGAAGATTTTAAAATATTTTCATAATAAAAATCTTAGACGGATTTATGAAGCAGGCATAATATCCATCTCACGCACGGTGAATACTAGACCTGGCTTCTTTAATATTTCCCCTTTTCTAGCAAGATTAATGCTGGCAAACGTACTTATAAATTTTAGATTAAAATAAAATTCTTTTTCATTTAAAATAAACTCTATTTTAAGAAATAATTTTAATTATGTTTTAATAACTATGTCCGGAAGAAGGTCTACTAGACCGAAACGTCTGACGTCGACATTGAAACAACATTAAAACAGCATACTTGCATATTCGGATTTTTTTCCCATATTTTCTTCATATACAGTGTAACCCGGATAAAAGAGGCCCGGATAAAAGAGAAACCCGGATATAAGAGAGATTTTCTCTGGTCCCAAATTAGAGCCCATACTTACCTAAACAAAATAGACCAAACCCGAATATAAGAGAAAACCCGGATATAAGAGACTTCTTTTCCGGTCCCGAAACTCTCTTATATCCGGGTTACACTGTATATATATATATATATATATATATATATATATATATATATATATTAAAGATATATGATGAATTCATTATATACAAAAAACAATTATAAAGGTTAACCTCTATAATTGTTTTTTTGTATGAACGATTCATGTAATTATAAATTAAATTGCACCTATATATATATATATATATATATATATATATATATATATATATATATATAACGGAGGCACAGTGTACTAGACAATGAGTGCTCGGAAAGTCGCGTTCGAATTGCAGTCGAATCTATTACCTTCACTTTCGTGCTAATACTTTTAAGAAAGGCATGAATCATCTTCTCCCCACCTCCATCTATAGGTAAATTGAAGGACAGACTGGCTTCTTGGATGGGAACTGGTCTAGGAGAAGGACAACTGTGAATTCATATCCTGCGGAGGGTCGTTTGGGGACCTTGTGGTATGTGGTGCACCAGGTCTCACAAAGTGTGGTTGTCTCTGCACAAAGCCTTCACCACTCTAATCAAATCATATCTGCAGGTGTCTGGCTGTCGGTTCCTAGGAACTGAGTTGATTGACCCTCATACGTCGAAAAGCGGCGGGAGAGTCTAGCATATATAGCGTCAGTCAAACGTTGCTCCTGATTTCTGTTTTTACAGCTGCTAGTTTATCGTCTGCTTGGCACTTGTTTTACAGTGTACAAGACGATAGAAATAAAAGAAAGCTCTCCCACGTATTTCTGATGCGAAGACGGGAAACCTGCAGGAAGAGATTTACATAAATCTATGAAAGACTACCCCGTCAATTATATAAATATTTAATGGAAACAACAATTCCCTCATCGATAGCGAAAAGGAAGATGACCCTGTTCCGAAATGAGGTACCAAAAGGAATAATTTCAAGTAATTATCGAACTATAAAATACAAGGTATGTTCGAAAGTAAGCTACAAGCATTTACCTATCCAACATGTTTACGGTAGAAATTACAAAAAAAAGAAAAAGAAAAATAGAACGTGCTAAAAAATATATTTATGTGTTTAATAAACACTTATATGTTTATATATGTGTTTATATACATATATGTGTTTAAAAATGTATGTGTTAGTGATACTATGATGCTACTTTTCCAGATAGTATCAAGATTGATGCTTTTGTCCTATGGAAGAACTTAAGCAACAACTTGGTGAACCCCTTCTCTGAAAACAAGTCGTTTGAGGGACCCAAGTCGATTCTAGTTTTTTTTGGCGAACAGCTACCCACTCTCTGCCTAGTGCTCCGTTTTATCGGTTTGTGTCAATTGTTTACCAATACGGTACAAAAAAAGCACCCCCGTCCCCCCAAAAATACGTGCACATAGGGGGTAACAGCAAACTTGTCCAAATCGTGTAAAAGCAAAATGTTTCATTTGTTAGATGAAGCTTTGAACCGTTGTATCTTAGATATGATTAAAGATATCTTACTGGAATTCTCCGAGGATTTTATAACACAGTTCGACTATATTTTGAGCAAATAAGAATGTATAATTACTCTCCAAGTTTAACAGAAGAATCATGATGAAATCGATCATAAAGGAAAATGACATGTTCATCATTAAATACTCACAGGCTTCATGTTAAACGATAAAAGATTTACTTATCAAAATTCGAAAAAAAGATCCCCTTTCCGAGTTAGATGTGCTATCCATTTTAGATGGTTTCGTTGTTGAAAGGTTTCACGTGATGTGGCTTCTATTATTTGGTACAGTTCTATGTAATTCTGTAGGGTGAATCCACAAGGTTTGGTGAAAGTCGTAGTTAAGACCTACAGACTTAGTCCGTACGAAACCATTTCTGAAAAAGCGGTTGTATGCAGCTAACAGTCATAGGTGCAGCGGGAGAGGATAGCACGTGGAGCGGAATGATGGAAAGGCAAAGATTTAGAAGCAATTTCAAAACAAACATATACCAAAAATAATTATAATTTCAAAATTTTAAATATTATTATGGATTACGTGTAATTGCATTCATGAGTCCCATTATAAATAGTTATGATTATTGAACGAAATTATGATTGCGATATTTTTGTATTATATCAAGTATTAAGAATATAGTAACTTGGTCTGCAAATTAGAGGAGAGAGTTATCAATGATATTGTTCTGATTTCGAATCCGCAGTTATCTCCCTTTAAAAATATTTTTTTAAATATTTAAATACGGATCCGCAGTTATCTCCCATTTTTTTTATATTTTTAAATGTACTTTTTATCACATAAAATTTAGTGAAGCGGAAGCAAATTTTAATTCTGAAAATGCAGCTCAGAGAAAAACGGATGGAAGCGTTGGTTTAGACGTTTCTGAATAACTTTAGTGGCATGTATGTCAACACGATGAACGTGTTGACTCTGGTGAGGTTGTTACGAGATGCAAATTTTTGTTGGGCTATTTAATGACATATATATTAGCATGTGACAGCCAGTTGTTAACGATGAATAAGTCTAATTATCCCGCTCCGAGACACAAGGGGGACGCAAAAAAAATGTCAAGAACAGAGATCTGAAGAAATTGTAGGACATGAATATGTCAGTTGTGTCTGGTCTTTATACGAGAACTTGCAACAAAAACCAAAGTACCCTGTAAGGAGATTAAACGAACTAGAAATTTGAGAGAAAAAAGTATTTCTAAAACTAGCCATAAAACTGAAGCATCATTGATTGAACCGTTTACTATGTCTTAACAATCGTTTGTGGATAATTTAAATCCACTGTGAGGAGGCACGGATTGAGGAATCGGAGAGCCGAGTTCGAATTCCAGTCGAATCCATTACATTCACTTACGTGCTAATACCCTTGGGAAAGGTGTGAATCCTCTTCTTCTCCCTCCAGCTATGGGTAAATAGCAGGACAGACTGGGTTCTATAGCCTTGGATGGCAACTGGTCTAGGAGAAGGACAACTCTGTATTCAAAACCTGCAGACGGTCGTTTGGGGACCTTGTGGAAAGTAGTGCACCAGTTCTCTGTATTCGGCCCTTCAAAAAGTGTGGATGGTCCTGCACGAAACCTTCACCACTATAATCAAATCTCATGTGCTATACCTGCGGGTCGCTGACCGCTTGTGAATTCCAAATTCCCATGAAACTCCAATATTGGAGCCGGCTCAACCTACCTCAGGTGAATGCCGTTACAGGTACAGGTAATTTCAAGCCATTAAATATGTTTAGATTGTAATAATTCTTTTGGTGGAAAGAATATTTTAGTGGTACAATATTGAAGAAGAAGTGAATTCATACGTTTCCCAAGAGTATGTATAAGTGAATATTAACAATTCTGAGCCATTATGCATTATGCTACCCGCACATCCAGTCTTACAGCTCCTATTGTTCTCACGTAAGTACCGAACAAGCTCGATGTTGGTTAGCTTCGGTGATCTGACATATAGCCGTAAGCATGAGGAGTGATATGGAATTATTTATTGCACCGTGATATCCCTTGAGAGTCAGAAGTTAGTAATAGACTCAAAACACAAGTAAGAAAAATGATCAAACGAATTATATTCCATTCTTTTAATAAAAATAAATGGCGGTTATATGGTAAGAGAAGAAGAAGAAGAAGAAGAAGAAGAAGAAGAAGAAGAAGAAGAAGAAGAAGAAGAAACCATAACCTTCAATATTAAAGCAGACGACACCACTCTTCATTCTATTAACTTTCATCCCTTGATTTTGCAAATAATTTCCGGTTGAGTGGTGGAACTCGACTTCGCCATGACACTTCTTCTTATATTCTCTTTCTTCCACTTCCGTTCTTACGAAGCCAACGCCCCATTTATCGAGAGCGATTGATTTATGGCCTGGAGCAAAATCGATAAAACGATTTCTCAGAAGACAGTGGGAAAAAGTTCAGAAGGAAGCTTTACTTGTGGGTTTTTTCTTTTCTTTATTTTTTGAGAGGAAACGGGGTCCTTTGATAGATCTCCATTATCTTGTGACTGGTACGATACATTTTTCATTCCATTCATTTCGGTTTTTTTTTTTTAGTTGATATAAAAAATTTCATTTAGTCGATTTTTTATTCCTGTTTTCATTCAGTGATCAATTTTATTCCTTTACCTCTTGTTGTTATTTTACCTAACGGTTTTTTTCTCACTCGACTCCGCTTTAAAAATATTTCTTTATCTCTTTTTTATACTCACAAGGTTTTATTATTTCTCTTTCACTAATTTTTCTTATGTAAACTTTAGGGAATATTTCGCATCTTATCCTACAGCCAATCTTTTCTTTCTTATTTTTCTATCTATCTATCTATCTATCTATCTATCTATCTATCTATGTATACACGTGTTCTTGATTATTTCTCTGTCCATGAATAACGTATAAAACGGAAACAGAAAAGCATCCTGTGAAAATCGAAAACACTTGCACAGTAATGGTCATCTGAACCAGTTCAGTAACAAGTATTACAGAACACATATCCTGGATTATCTCCCCTCTCTCTCTCTCTCTCTCTCTCTCTGAAACCAATAATAATAATAATAATAATAATGTCAATGTTACAATGAACTACAATGGGGAAAATAGCACGGCCATGACCTTGAACCAGTCATAGAAAGCAACAAAATCATATTGCTTGGGACTTTAGTAATTCTATGGGCCAATATATAAACGCTAATTAACTTGACACTCTCCTTAAACACAACCAACAAATCCTTTGCCTTCTAATGTATAAGGTAGTGTCATCTCATAAAAATATATATCTGTTAAAGCCCCTAGCAAACATAAGGATCTGAAATCGAAATTGAAAAATAGGGTTCTTTATAACTACTGTTATACCTGTAACTTAAACAATGGGTACGATCCAAAAAGATACAGGTAAGAACATTAAGAAGATCCATGGCAAGCCCCGGATTACAAGAGGTTCAAGAAATTGCGTGTGTGAAACTGCTCGTCTTGTAATGTCAATGTAAAGAACATATAAACAGTGTACATGTTAAGTAGCACTTAACATCAAAATTTTGGGTGAACGTAATAACGTGGTAAGCGATTGTACTAAACAGGAAACAGAATATAATAATAATAATAATAATAATAATAATAATAATAATGAGAAGAAGAAAAAGAAGAAGAAGAAGAAGAATGTCTAGGAGAAATCTTAAGAATGTGGCAGTTAAACATAACCATTATTCCAGTAATAATAAGAGCACTAGGAATGATTCAAAACGATTATACTCCTGAACACTACTTATACACCCCCAAAAAGATCTCGGTATAGTATGTTAAGATAAAAAAAAAAGGAAAAAAAAAATTTCTTTAAATCAGATTTAGTAAAGAATGTTATGAAGCACTTAATTAAGAAATCTGGAATAACAACAATAACAACAACATCAACAGCAGCAGCAGCAACAACAACAACAACAACAACAACAATAATAATAATAAACTAGAAATTACTAAGAACACATACTGAACAGTTGTGCTAACCGGAAATTTTGTGATAAATATCCAGAAACACTTTACCATCTTGTATCATGTTCTATCAGTGTTAGCCCCAATTGAATATAAAATTCGCCATGACAGTGAAGGTCAATATCTGCACGGGAAGATATGCAACATTTACAAGAAGTAAATCGCCCAGACATCGTGATCAGAGATCACAATAACAGAATGGGCTTTCTTATTGACATGCTAATCCCTGTAGATTGAAATGTATCTTTGAAAATATTAAAAAAAAAAACTATCAAAATACAAGCATCTTGAAGTGAAAATCTAAAAAATGTAGGAAATAAGGCATCAATGATTTCAGTTGAAGTTGGAGTCTTCGCATTGGTTGGGAAGCATACCGATAGACTCACTGAAGGGATTCCTCGTATCCCATTGCTTAAAGAAATGCTAAAAAGTTACTGACATGTATACCTCTCACATTACGAAGAACTTTATCTGTATAAAATGTGTGCAATCTTAGCTCTTTTTTTTCTTTTTTAAAAAAAAAAAGATCTGTAGAAAATGTCATGAAGCCATTTCTGACTTCAGGTCTCTGGTTGGGACTCGGAAGGAAATGTGTATACAACAGAAATCAAAGGAAATAATGATAATGTCCGCAAAAATCCAAATTGTAACCCAATTACACTGGTCAGCAAAATCCAAATTGTAACCCAATTACACTGGTCAGCAAAACAGTGGTGTCGAGACACCAAACATTTTTTTTAGCTAATTTGAGATCAATGAATCTGAAAATGACCTTACTTTTTCTTGTTTAGCTACCGTTTTTGCTGTAAAGAAATGCCTCATTTTTGGAAGAAAGCATTTTTTTATTTGTTTTCTCTATATATGATATTGACCAATGGCAATATTTCTCAAAATAAATCGTAGAAACCTCTCAATTCGCATTTAAACCAACAAATATTGGTCTGCTTATTGAGAAATACTATTTTTACAATAACAATCAGCCCCTAAGTCTTTAAAAATAGCATCATTGAATATACCAAGACCAAGTATTTTCATCAAATCATTTGATAAACTAACACCAGAAATAAAACCTTCGTGAGCATAAGGACTATGGTAAAAAAATTCTCTTTCTTGATTGTCTGTTACGTTTAATGTTATTTAAGTCCACCTTTGATACCCCAGCAGTATAATGTACAATGGAATAGGTACATTCAGTTGGGATGTCTTTATTTTGTGTTTCTTTCCAAATGTGAAAACAAAATGCTCTTAGTTTGTTTGGTTTCCTTCCGTAGTGAAGGGATAAAAGTGATGGGATAAATTTATGAATACCAAACAGAAGATTTTACCGTTTCGTTTTTTGATGTTACCTTAATTATCAGTTTAATAAAGTGTATTACCGATAAAGTTTATCAGTTAATTTGAATTTCGGCGATAAATTGGTAAACTTCGGTACAGCTATTTTAATATCTTTGATTCAAAAACATGTTTTCTTATGAAAATAGTTGAATTTAGGTGGGTGACATAATTTGCTCAAACCGATGGGTTTCTACAACCTTTATTAAGTAAATTTTGCGATCGTAAATTGATCTTTCTTCCCAAAATGAGGAATTTCAGTAAAGCAATAACGGTAGCTAACCATGAAAAAGTAATGTCATTTTCGGGATCACCACCATCAAATTAGCTACAAAATGTATTTTTTGTTTCTGGGCACCAAAAATCGTGTTGACCAGTGTTAACAAACCTCTAAATTTCAGGAGAGGTCTTCTTGATCAGGCGAGGAATTTTTCGGTACCCATCGTTAAATAGATCAGTGCCAAAATTTCCGGCAGTTATATTTTATTCATATTCATTCAGAATGTATTTTTTAAAATGTTATGCTAGTATCTCCTTAACGTTTTATTCATTTTACGTTTCTTTTCCGCTAAATTGTGTGTTCCATCATCTAAGAACGGTTCCACCTTAGATTTGGTGAATTTGCTGGAAACACTAGCAATACCAGAATTGTTTCATGAAGGAAAAAAAAAGCTATGGTCTGAAAATTAGAGAGAAGTTTAAAAGACACGCCACGTGAGGAAAAAAAAAGTTAATTTCGTCTCCACTTGAAAAAAAAAAAAATTAAATTTGCAATTTTGTTTTTACCAATTTCCCTGATTTTTCCTATGGAAAAAATTAATCTTTACTTTTCTTGCATAATACGCAACGCCAGCATTTAGGATGAAAAAATTCTAAAGATCTTTGAAGTAGACACGATTAAATACGATACTTCATAGAAGTTGACACACGTTAATGTTTTCTGTTACCAAAGTGCATATATTCGGTTTTTAATATTACGCTCCCGTGCTAGACACGACACTAAATGTGGTCCTAGTTCCGTGACTACCACATGCGACTTTTATTTATAGCTGTAGAGTGTGAGTTCAATACCCGGTTAAGGCAGTGGAGAACTTTCAGAGTGAAAAAAGCAGGAGATATCTAATAACTCACATCCATTAAACACAGAACGTGGAACTAGAACAGTCTACCCCAGTGAGCGAAATAAATGGTTCAGTTCGACATTTCAACCACCTGAAGAAGACCGGAGCGTACAACGTCCGAAACTTTATAATAAATATGGCGACAAAGATGAGGACAATAGTCTGAATAATGTAAATAATGTATACTAATTTCTGCCAGTTAGTTATTGAAAGAAGATATAAATACTTCTGCTCCCATGTGCTGTTTATGTTCAGGAAGTGGGCGGTCATGGCTCACCACAAATTCCTGTACATTGTAGCTGTTAGTAAATTGTTTTCTTTTTGTTTATTTTGCTATACCTTCTAATCTTTGTTCTGCCATATACCCACATACATACTCTAAATATGTACATCGCTGTTTTCCATCACTATATCCTGTGGGTATTAAATTCTCTAGGCCCTCCTTCCTCATTACATTCCGACAAAATATCAACTGTCTATTTCTGATTCTAAGCAGAAGTGTTCGTTTTGTTTCCGTTTATTTTAAATCTTCTGGGTACTCAGATATTTAGCCCATCGTATTCTCAGAATCCTATGTTTGATTTTCGAAATGAATCTTCCGCTATTAATACGCACCTTCGAATATTTATGTTATATTTTCCGTCGCATGTTACCCTGATACGGCACCCTGATAGTTAAATCTCCACACGTTCTCTATTTTGACGTCCCCACTATGTAACTCACAATGTACGCTGTCTCTTTTGTTGACACTCTCCCTATGTATTCCGTATTCTTAAAGTAAATAGCCTTCTTGCTTTCTGTAACTTATTTTCTTTCATTTTCAATTACGATCTTTTTGATAATTCCGTGTTATCATAATCGTTATTATTCATGGTTGAACACTGAACGACTGTGAGTCTAGTCAACTGTTCAGCACCGTTTTCCATAGCTACACTATTTTTTTCGCATTTTTTCTTCTATATTTTATTGTCCTCTGTCATATATATATATATATATATATATATATATATATATATATATATATATATTTGTGTGTGTGTGTGTGTTCTATTTTTACATCATTTCTACGAAATATTCTATTTATATATAGAACATATTCTATTTAGTTTTATTTTATACTGTTTCTTCTTCTTCTGGTTTTTCTTCTTCGACTATTTCTATCACCTCCACTTCTGCCTCGCTTTCGACACTGTATTCCTCATTCTTCTTCTTCTTCTTCTTCTTCTTCTTCTTCTTCTTCTTCTTCTTCTTCTTCGCCGTTGTCTTTTTCTTCTTCTTCTTCTATTTTCCAAAGCTTTTTTAGTTTTTTTCGCCCCCAATATCGTATTCCTCAAACTTTCTTCTTCTTCTTCTTCTTCTTCTTCTTCTTCTCCGTTGTCTTTTTTTCTCCTTCTTCTTCTATTTTCCAACTCTTTTCTTTTTTTTTTCGCCCCCAATATCGTATTCCTCAACTTTCTTCTTCTTCTTCTTCTTCTTCTTCTTCTTCGCCGTTGTCTTTTTCTTCTTCTTCTTCTATTTTCCAAAGCTTTTTAGTTTTTTCGCCCCCAATATCGTATTCCTCAACTTCTTCTTCTTCTTCTTCTTCTTCTTCTTCTTCTTCTTCTTCTTTCTCCGTTGTCTTTTTCTCCTTCTTCTTCTATTTTCCAACTCTTTCTAGTTTTTTCGCCCCCAATATCGTATTCCTCAACTTCTTCTTCTTCTTCTTCTTCTTCTTCTTCTTCTTCTTCTTCTTCTTCTTCTTCGCCGTTGTCTTTTTCTTCTTCTTCTTCTATTTTCCAAAGCTTTTTAGTTTTTTCGCCCCCAATATCGTATTCCTCAACTTCTTCTTCTTCTTCTTCTTCTTCTTCTTCTTCTCCGTTGTCTTTTTTCTCCTTCTTCTTCTATTTTCCAACTCTTTCTAGTTTTTTCGCCCCCAATATCGTATTCCATTCATTCTTCTTCTTCTTCTTCTTCTTCTTCTTCTTCTTCTTCTTCTTCTTCTTCGCCGTTTGTCGTTTTTTTTTCTTCTTCTTCTATTTTCCAAAGCTTTTTAGTT